TTGCATAAGAAAATTCGATAAACTAATTCCTAATTACATTGCCATAAATTTTCCCAAAAACTCTTCAATGTCTCAACAATCTTACAGAGTTTCAAGGATTCAAAAATTAATTATTATTATTATTTATTAATTAAGAAAAATTAGTTATAATTTCATTCAAAAAAATAATAATTTAAATTTAATAATAAGAGTTCAAAAAAAATAATGCGTCCTTAGAAGAAAACCGAATAATTTGGATCACAATATTCAGATACCGAATATATTCACCGCTGAAGAACTGGGTGAGATATGCGAGCAGATGAGGCAGATCGACAGGCAACGAGACCGATCGGTACAAACGGATGGTAGCGCGGTGGCCCTGTTCAATCTGTTTGTTCAGATAACAAGGGAACAGCTCCACATCGTGATTGTCATGTCGCCGATTGGCAATAATTTTCGCAACCGAATCCGAAAATTTCCAGCGCTGGTTAATTGTTGTACCATCGACTGGCTTCAGGTATCTTCCACTGAGCTTACCATTTACTTTTTTAAACAAGTTGTAGTCTCAAATTTTTTTAATAGGAACTCTAATAACAATATTCAAGTCCTTTTTTATTCGAGATTCTGGCGAATAACAAATAGCAGTTCTTAATTTTCTGTTACATATTAGTAAGTAGTAAATCAAGCAGTCAAATTTGATTTGATGCAAATTAAGAACGTTATTTTATTTAGAAGTGTGTTCAAATATTAATAGGAGATTCCTGACGTAATTTTAAACAACATTTTCCTTAGCGAAAAAGTTGTCCGAGGCGTGGTTGAAGAGTTATTAACAAAAAACCCCGACCAATCAGAGCGCTCGGTTGGTGCGAGCTTCCAATCGGGAGCGTTGGCTCGAATCCGGACACGCGATTTTTGACGTGTGAACAAGCGCTCCGCTCAATACGAAGCGTTTTAAGAAAATGACGAATAATAAACTACATGAATAACAATGCAAGGAAATTAAGAACAATTAATAGATTTAATCGTTATTCAAATGAAATGGATGGGGAAATAATAAATTTTTGATAGGCCAGGCGTCCGGATCCGAGCCAACGCTCCCGATTCGAAGCTCGCGCCAACCGAGCGCTCTGATTGGTCGGGGTTTCTTGTTAATAACTCCTCAACCACGCCTCGGAGAACTTTTTCACTAAGGAAAATATTGTTTAAAATTGTCAGGAACCTCCCATTTCAATATCTCACACTAGTTTTGAGACACTCTTAATATAAACTCTGCACGAATACTTGTCAGACTTTTTAATGGACAATAAGAATTAGAACTTAAGAGCAGAAGTACAGATTACTCGAATTATTTTTCAAGCCATGGCCAGAGGATGCTTTATTAGCAGTGGCGACTAGATTCCTGGGTCAAATCGAGCTCACTGAAAATGAAACAGTTGCCGGTATCAACATGTGTCAATTCTTTCACGTATCCACAGAGAAGTTAAGTAAGGAGTTCCTGATTCGTTTGGACAGGCAAGTATACGTGACACCGACCTCATATCTGGAAATGATAAACACTTTCAAGGATCTACTGGCGAAGAAACGAGAGTGAGTGACGTGCATAGTAGACGTAAATTACCATGTGCAGAATTGAACGAAAAGTTTGATGTAAAACAGAGAAATACTTAACGCTAAGACTCGATACGAGCGCGGTTTGGGTCAGCTGGACGAGACTCAGAAGCAAGTAGTGGTGATGCAGGAGACTCTGAAATCGCTGCAGCCGGCATTGATAAGCGCCACTCAAGACGTAGAGAAAATGTTGTTGGAGGTCGACAAAGAGAGAGAAGAAGTCGCTGAGTTTGAGAAAGTCGTGAAACAAGACGAAGCTGCTGCCGAAGTTAGTGTCGCCAATTCCAATTTCTAAATACATTTATAGTAAATGTCTCAATTTCTGTTCACAGTCTCTTAGTTCTTATGTGCAATCTTAAGTATTCATAGGCTATATACTTAAACGAGGCTAGCATCTTGAATTTGTTATTATACATTCCTATTACT